CCTAAGGATTCTGTCACCAAGCAGTAGCTTCCGCTAGCTATATCTTCTGCTTCTGCTTTCTATGCCTGAGAAAGAGAAAACAGAACATGAGCATGCCATTTATTGCAGGGATGTGCTGTGAATCCCAAGGTGGGCGAGAAGGAACGCAGTTGTGTGTATACACGGGAAGCTGCGTGAGACAGCACTAGTCTGGGATGTCTCACCTGGACATTTCTCTGTCAAGCCAGTATTGACGTGACCTAGAGAGGTGGCGTACTTCTCTTTATGGTTAACAAGTATCTTAAACACTGATTTGAATATTGTCACATGCTTGCTTTAGCCAGAAGATTGACTTTAGCAAAGATACAGAATTACATTTGTGAGTTATGGTGGGCACCAGAGGCCTATCCAAAGATGCCTCTGGGTTTAAGCAGCATTTGGTTAAAAACTGAACTGGGGACTCTTAAGTAGAAGCACCAACTATTGCAATGCACATCAGAGTTCCCCGTTCTTTGCTTCTTTCAAAACTCCCTTCCTCCAGTTCCCTGTCCCCTTGTCCCTTCAAGACCATCCACTCCCTGCTCTAAGATGACTGTCTCCCTGGTATTCAATACACAAAGAGGGCAGAGAAATGAACCAGACAAAGAGAAGGTCCACATATTTGGATTTTGTTCCTACATCTAAGTTGACAGTCTTGGCTACTTCCCAGACTTAGTTCACTCCTATTTGAGAGATCAGCTGATTCCAAGCGGCGGATTCATTACTGAACTCATGCAACAGAAGGGACTGTCTGGCATTGTCTGTTTCCCGTGTGTCTTCTTCCCAAGGATCTGTGGGAACACCTGTCTCCACTGGCCAGTACTGTATCCGAGATGGGGGCTTGAGCTTTCGGCCCCTAGTGTATTCTGGGTTATCAGGAAAAGACAACACAGGATGGAATAGAAAATTATAATTCCTAGGGTGAGACCACACGGAGCCCCTGCAACAGGATGTCACTTCTGTCATTGCTTTCAAATGAGGTCAGCTTTGCAGCGTAAACTTCTGGGTCCATGGGGAGAAATTCAGAGGCCTTTGGAGGAAATGTCCCTCTAGGTGCTTTTATGGTCACTGTGGCCTTTAGTTGACTAAGCCACTCCACGTGAACTGTTTTTTCTTTCTCCAAGATGACAGGGATCATTGAGCTGGAGAAATAAAGCAGCTGACTCAGAATCCATGTCATCAGCACAGCAGTTGCTTTTTAGAAAAACATCTTACTCTACGAAGGTTTGGGACATCCTATCTGTTGTCACTCTGATAAAAAGTCCTGGAAGACACCCCATTCCCTGTGAATCCCAGTCAATGGTTTAGCATCTTTAAAATCTGTGAGGAGGTGACTCAAACTAACAGGAGGGCCAGAGACTAATGACAAGATTTCAAACGGGCCTCAGTGACATCTGTAGAGCCTACACGATACAGTCAGGCGGGCGCACTGAGGGAAGTGTCACCTGTTTTCACTTGGCAAGCCTCCAGTGATACTGTGACTTGAACTAAGACCGACCCACTAACTGTTGCGTCTAGTCCATCATCGGCATTACACAGTGGAATGGACGTACGGCCACGCAGATCCCTTCCCATTCAGTCTTGGTTTTGCCCAGCTTCTTTGAACCACCATTGCTAATTTTTTTTTCCTGATTAAAAAATAAAAGTTGCAGGCTTGGCATGAACTTCATCTTGATTTACAGCAGTCACGTATAATTCAGCTCTAAAGATAGGTCTTATCCCTGTCTGTTGGGTTACAAAGAGCTGGTTCTTTTATGAATGGCAAACCCGATTTGCCTCTGAGTCCACGAGGTAACAATAGGCTCTCCTCTTCCTGATTTTTGACCTCTTCTTCTCTGCAGGCTCCTGGGGCCAGGGAAATGCCTGCCTGTCTCCTCCCGCCCTCACTTTCTCTCTAATACATGCCCGCACCTCGCCCTAGACTGTGGTTTCTGTTCTCTTAGAGCTGTGCTGTATGACAGTTGTTTCCAACTGCCTTTGGAATGTTCTCAACATTCTCAGCAGTTGGCATCCTGGTTCTATAGCCAAGTGGAACCTCAGCTCTCCAGGGCCGTGGTCCAGATCATTGAGTGGGTCCCCAGCAGTTGGGTCACTGGGAATGTTCAATCGGCTTAATGATAATTCCCATTACAGGCTTCAGGGACAGTCTCAACTCCATGTGAGAGACCCTGGAGTCACTGCCTTATCAAAAGTCTAGCTAAAGAAAATTTGATATGGGACTCCTAGTGTGCTAGGCAGTGGAGGTCTCTGGCTTTGGGCCCTTGGCCTTGACACAGCCCTTCCTCCGCCCCTGCTCTTGCTCACTCTTTGCCGTGGCTCACACACTTCGAAGCAGATAGCAGAATGCCTGGTGCCTGAAGAGAAGGGGCAGGGCTCTGTGGGGATTTGAGTGCTAGATTTTAGTTAAGTGTGCTTCCCTTTGCCCAGCAGCAAGGTAAAGAGACTAATGTCGCAGAGGTTCAGATGCTCCTGTCCCCTATCTCTGGAAACTGGCCACTGGCAGACCTTGGCTCTACCTTGCGGGGCTGCTGGCTTCTGCCTTAGTGCATCAGTCCTGTGTGCTGGGGTTGGGGGAGCATCATAGACAGGGCTGGAGAAGAGGCTGCCATGGCCTTTTGGCCCTGCTAGGAACCTCTGCAATGCCACCTACCCTGTATCAAGACCTACAGAGAGCATCTTAGAGACTGCGGCCTTTCTTTTTAAAAGGCACACATAAAAATACAGTGGCTTCGTAAGGCCTCATTTAGAGATTGAATTTTTGAAAAAAGCTTCTGTCTCAGGGCACTTTGGGAATGAGGTTCAGGACACAGGGTTCACTTGCGCTCGTCATGACACCCACAGGTCAGGTCTGGACACTTTTGGAGGGGGTCTCCTGCCAGAGTCTCACCTCGCCTCTCTTCTGGTAGATTAAGGCTTTACAGACTATTTTGTGACTTTGGAGTCTTTTGGCTGGCTTGGCAGACTGTTTTGTGACTTTGGAGACTAGGTCTTTTGGCTGGCTTGGGCTGACCTGCAGGCAAAGTGACACACAGGAGCAGCTGCCTCGTAAGTGAGGGGCTATCCGTCTTCTTCTCGGTTATAATACAGGCAAAGAGACTTCTACAGAAGCTTTCCACGCAGGCCTCCAAGGTGTTCAGTCTTAAAGAAGAGGTCCATCAGTAGAGCTAGTGTGCAGGTTTCCTTCTCTGGGGATGAGGTCTAAGGGTTCATGGCCCGAAGGGCCTGCATAGGTGAAGCCTCTTTCACAGAGCACAGGCTATGTTGGTGTCTGCTTTCAACAGTTGCCTCCACCCCTACCCCCACCCCCAGCCAACAAGCTGATTTGGAAGAAAAGCCCAGGTGTGGTTCATCACTTGACTGTAAGGGAATGACCACACTCCCTTGACTATGACAAAATGACAGAAGGCGATCTCTGCAGGGTCTGTGGTCATCCCAAGCTAGATCCTGGAGAAGAAAGGATACAACCAGACCTGGGCTGTGGGGAGATGACTCAGCAGCTAGACTGGGGGACCTGGCTTGGGCGAAAGACAGAGATGAGAGTTAGCCGAGGGGGAGGATCTGGGAACCAAGGGAGGGGATGTTTGCATAGGAAACATAGGAGGGGAGGCAATGGGGTTTTAGTTCTTCCTGGATTTTATCCTGTAGTCCCTGGTGAGCAGCTGGGCAGATGGAAGGGTTAGGAGGGCTTGTGGGATGCAATGCATTGGCCCTGGACTGCAGGGGACAGATCTAAGGCGTCAGGATTGGGGACCAAGGAGAAGGAAGGCTTTGGCAGTAGAGTAAGCAAGAAAAGTCTCAAGGAGAGATTGTGTGCATGTAGAGGGAGGTGAGGGGAAGGTCCCAGCATCGAAAACATTTGGAACTGAGTTGGCAGGTGGGGGGGGGGGGGCGCGGACTAGACTTGGCTTGCCTCTTGCGACCTCAAGTCATGAAGACATTGTTCTCCTCACACCAGGCTGAGTTTTGGTGAATCTCTGTATCCAGGGGCTTTCCCTAACAAGAGGGCAAGGGCAAGGACAGATTCCTGGGGACACACGTGTGTGTGTGTGTGTGTGTGTGTGTGTGTGTGTGTGTGTGTGTCTGGGGGGGGGCAGCTGAGGTGCAAGACCAGGGGCAGAGGGAAGGAGGTGTAGATAACTTGGTGGGGAACCTAGGGAGCATGGCCCTGTCTAAGAGAACTGACCTCCCTATGCCTCAGAAGGGCAAGTACCCACTTCCCCCTGCCAATGTGTGAACAAGTTCCTTGTTTCCCAAGATACCTGACAGTGTGTCTCTCTCACACAGTGGTTGCTAAATTAATGTCTGAACACAGATGTAGCAGAGCAGGTGGCAAGAGGCCCGAGAGTTGTGGAGGATTTGGCAGGGGTGGGGATGGGATGCTGGGTCACGGTCTGGGGAAAAGGAGTGGTTGGAGGGAGGAGGCAGGATTTGGGGCAGAGCTGAGCATGGTGGGGGACAGAGGATATCTGAGCCAGCCTTCCCTGCTGCTTCTAGTTTCCCCACGACAGGAAAGGAGAGCGTGCAGAGAGCTAAGGCCTGGAGGATGGAGCACATTTCAGAAATGAAAATGGATGTTTGCTGACTGCCTCATTCCCCTGCAGCACTGCATGTCCCGTGTAGAAAAGGGAGAGACATGCCTGTAAGGAAGAGAGCAATAGAGATTACTTGCAATCCCAGCCACGGTGCTGGGCGTCATTCATATCCTGGGATGCATGTGGCCTTGGGTGGCACGTTGGCGCACCTGATAATGTTAAAGCCATGATTAACTCCTCCCCGGGCCTCTCTTTTCTTTCCTCAAATTTTGGAAGATAGGAGAGGTGTCACTAAATACCTATTTCACAACGTTACGTTTCTCGCTTGAAAATTTCTTGAAAACGTGTCTATATTTTTCTGAAACATCCCTTAAAATTTTTTTTTTTTTTTTTTTTTTTTTTTTTTTTTTTTTAACAATCTCCATCATGTGAGATCTAGGTGGCTCAGAAGACAATAGCTCCCGAAGAACATTCTGGGAAAGGCTTCCTGACACCTTCTGCTTCGGAATCACCAGGCTTCCTTTCGAGGCTTCAACTTTGTTTTTTTTTTTTTTTTTAAAATGAGGAAGTCCTGGTATGGGCGTCACCCGGAACTGACGGAAAACAGCCAGCCATGCTACACATCTAGCTACTAGGCCTGACTCTCCTAGTGTCTATGAGACTACTGCAGTTAACCCTCTAGTCAAATCTGGGTGCACACAACTCATTTTCTCAAAAGACATTTCTAGAAGCAGCCTGTCTAAAGTAGGAGAAACATGTGCCTAGAAGCAGCGGTTCTGGGAAAGAAAACTTCCAAGGTTATATTTTCCTTCTGAGGAAGTGTCTCATGGCCCGTGAAGGCTCCGCCTGCCCCATCCTGCCCTCCATCCGTCATCAAAAGCCTCCAACAGTGCCCAGCTCAGTGGGAGGGGAAGATTCCAGCCAGCACCTCTAATCCTCACCATAAGCTGTCTCTAGATGATGTAGGTGGTATCTTTGCGGGAGTGGGGGTGGCGGTGGGGGATAGGAGATGGCTGACACAAGGGAGCATTGCTCCCTTGGGAGAGCAAAGCTGAGGTGACAGCACTGTGATTAGAGGTGGTTGCTCCACCAGGAAACACAAAACCAGGGGACAAGGTTTATCTGTATCTTTTTCTAGAAACCCCTGCCTTGAGTGCAGGGGGCAGGACTGCCACTGGCTTGCAGAGTGGACTGTTGTTTTTGGCTTTTTCCTCTTGCAGAGACAACGTGAGAATTCTTTTTTGGGTACCAAGCAGGGATGGTGGGATTGCTCTAGGTGGGTGACTCCAACGGTTATAGACTTTGTCCCCTGCTCCGTCTCCGAGAGAGGGAGCTTGCACCCTGCCGCCTTCTCAAATAGGACTGCTTGAGTCCTGATGGCAGAAGAGAAGCCTAGGGCAGCTTCCTCATCTGCCTCTGAGTGGGGAAGTGGGAGGCACAGGAAGACTGTCTTTATTTCTGAGTGATCTTTAGTGCTACTTTTGGTAGATTATCCTTTCCCCCTGCATCTTCTTTGGATCATTCTTAAAAATTCCTGCTTCTAGCTGACTGGTTGGTGGAGAAGCTTCCTTATGTCTTTCTTTTCTGTGCTGTGGTTTTCAGTGTGAGGGGGAGATTGTCTTCACCTAGAGAATGTGTGATGACCAAAGAGAAACAGTCAAGGGGCCTTGGCTTGAAGTGTGAAATTTGTTTGGGTTAGCATTACCAGGGAATCTCTGTGATGCTTATCAACCCAAGTCCCCCTTGCTCCATGAGCTCCCCCAAGTCCTTGAAGGTTACTTACTGCTTAGCTGGTTTCGGAGTGAAATGGGAATTTGAAGTCGTAACTGGATTTGTGAGTTGCAGCTTGCTGCTACAGTTGGCTTGACCACCAATTAGTCCCAATTTTCAAATATTGCTCTTTCTGGAACTTGAAGTACAGATTTGTCTCGGGTATCATTTCCAGGCTTGCTCCTTCGTTTGTTTCTGTGTTAGTATCCTAGACTTGCTGCCAACAGGTCTCTACAAAACAAACAGTTCCAGACAGCATAATTCTTCTCTCCTGGTTCTGGAGACCAGAAGTCCAAAATCAAGGTACTGGCAGGGCCGGTGCCTTCTAGGATCTTTGAAGGAGAGTTCATGCCAGTTCTCCTTCCCAGCTTCTGGTGGCTGCAGTCTGTTGGGTCGCTCTCTTGGGCACGCATTGCTTCAGTCTGCCCCTTTCCACTGCACATGGTTCTCTTTTCTGTGTTTGTCTTTGTGTCCTCTTGCAAGGACATCAACGATTGCATTTGGAGCCCAGCCTAACCCAGATGCCTTCTCTATCTAGCTAACTATAACTGTAATGACCTAGCTTCCAGATAAAACTCTGGGGAACACAACTCTTTCGAGGGGTTGCTATTGAGACCTTTGTAGCCTTTCTACCTTCAGACTTTCCCATCTAGCCGCTTAGCCCCACAGGTTCAGTTGCTGTTTTTCTCAGACCTCGCTTAGCGAGGCACACCTCACCCTTGCTCCCCAAAGCCATCAAAGGCTCCCACTGCTGACAGAATAGAGTCCTACCTCTCTAGTTCAGTTTTAGGAGATCCACCATAGTCTGGTCCCAATGATGTTTTTGGCTGTGTCTTTATGCTTCTACGCATTATCCTTCAGGTCCATGGGAAAAGTCTTCTGCACTGTAGATTTTGTTGTCTGGATCATGGACTCCAGACCCACACTCTGTCTGCTGCTTAGATGCTTTCCTTGAATGCCTGTGTCATGGCTTTCTCAGGAGAACATTTGTAAGCTGCTCTGAATGTAGACTGACTGTTGAATACTCTGCCTCATTTCTTGTTTGAAGTGATGCTCCAAATGGAGTCTACATTTTACCCGAAGCCCATTTGTTATACCTTCTTAGGTCCTTGGATTTGGCCACAGTGCCTTGAATCATATGAAATTGGAAGCCAAGAGACACTGGGTGTAACAGACAAAGTATCTGTGTGGGGAGCCACCACCTCTCCTCATAGAATCCTTAGCAACACTAGTAGCCAGAGTGAGGATCAAGGAGGTAAAAAAGGAGAAGTAACAAATTGAAGAACATTAACACCTTTCAATATCAGCCCTGATAGATGCTCTGAAAACTTGAAAGTCACAAAGAGGCTTTTAACTTGTAGTGTTGGGATAAGGCTCGGACTTCTGGCACGTGCGGCACCTAGCTAACCTATAATCCCTGCCCAAAAAGATGCTTTTACTCTCAGGATTGCTCTTAGTGTCTTTTGCTAGCTCTCAGTAAGCCCAGCGACTTTGGAATCTTTGGTGCTACTTGAGCCCTTCCTTGCCAGGCTTTGGCAATAGTTTTAAGAATTGGATGTAGAAACCCAGGCTAATGCAAACACCTAGGTAAAACTACCTGTGTCCCCAAATCATTTATGGATAGTTTATATGATGGTTTTGATTTTGTCAATTTGAAAGAACTTTGCACCTGTGCCTGCTTTCACCTTGCTAGATTATGGTAGAAACAGGAGACCCTGAATTCCATTAAAAATTCTATTTTCTTGGACCCACAACAGTTGCCTGCTGATTTCCTGCCCTGTGGGCATTTCAGCCTTCACTGCTCTGACACGAGAAGAGGTGTGCGAGGTGGATTTTCCTGTCAGGGAGTCTTCACTGCTATTTATGTGTCTCCCACGGCAATCTCATTCCCGTTAGACCACAACAACAATGGGAACAGCTGGAGTCCAAGTTTGTCCTGGCCATCTGCAGAAAGAACATGCCAGACTTTTGAGACTCAGAAAAGAGAGGAACCTGAGAAGGGCATACTGTTGGTGATTCCACCCTTAAACTTTGCTACCCCCACCCCCTCCCCATTCAGCTTCCTGTTTCTAGAACCTTCCTTGAAACTTTAACAAAAGTACAAAGAGCATGCCACACAAACGTAGAAGATGGAACGGCCTTTCGACGACTTCGTGTTCTTGCTGGGGCTCAGAATTACTCATTAGGGCAAACCCCCTCATACCATGTGAGTTAACAGCCAGCCTGCTGTCATTGCTCCAAAGATCCAAGGTTGAAGTGGGTGTCCTTCACAGGGGCCGTCTGGATCACCCCAACTCTAGCCTCACTTCTGAAACCAGGAATCTGGTATATCTGTGCTTTCTTTTCCAACTAGACAGTGACTCGGTGGCTGGGGTAAAAGAACTCTGGAAAAAAAGTTTTGTTTGGAATGGCAGGAGCTTCTAAACAGTCAGCTCCCTATAAACAGGACATCAGGCATCCACTTTTCTTGAGTGCATACAAATATTTGATAAGAGGATTCTGGCCCCACAGAGGGGTTGGGAGCAAGGGCTCCATGCAGGAGACGGAGGAGTGGTGGGTGAGAAGCGTTAATGCTGATGGCAGGTTGCAGAATAGATGGAGGGAGATGTGGGCACCTATCTATTGGCCACTGATAAAGCCTCAAAACTAAAATGGTCCTGCCCAAGTCTAGCTTAGCAAACCAGTAAGTTAATTGGGGTTACTTAGAGAAGTTACTGGAAGGCAGCTGCCTCACCAGAAAGCCCATGGCGGCAGGGACATGGAGCCTGACTTGCAGGTACCCCTGGTGAAGGAAGTCTTCATTTTACAGCACGCGTACCGCTCTTAGGACCTTGGGGAGGGTCCTGATGAGCCTTACAAACTTCATGAATGTCCTGAGCAGTGTGAGTTCCTTTACCTTGCTGGGGGAGCTCCTTCTGCTCCTTTAGCCAATAGCCTTTAAGATACCAGCCCACTTGGGCTTGGGCTTGTTGGCTGAGTTGGGTGCCAGGTAAAGGAGTAAGTCACAAAGCAATCCCACACCAGTTTGGAATTATGATTAATAAAAGGGTTATTTATTTAAAGGGAAAAACTTCCAGATCACTGTCCTAGACAACAGACCTTTGCACAACTAGGAAAAGGAACCTGGTAGCCGGAAGCAGATTCCGAAGCAAGAGAGAGAGTGTGCATGGCTACCACTGCTTTTTCAAGCCAAATAGACCACATCCAAGTGGTCTGGTATCTTAAAGGCTATTGACTGAAGGAGCAGAAGGAGCTCCTGCAACATTACCTTCCAGGTCTCATGAGCCTCTCTCCTCCTTCCAAGAGGGAATTCTTTGAAGGCAGCGAAACAGTTTCCCAAGGAAGATGGCACACTTGTTTCTAATGTCTGCCAGAAAAAATGACCGTAAAGGAAATGAACTGAAACCATAGGAATTTTCTCTCTTCCAGTCCCAGAGGTCAGAGGCATGAGGCGCATCTTCCTGGGACGACTTCCAAATGTGAGCCATACTGTGTTCCGTCAGGGGCTCCAACATCCAAATGTGAACCATGCCATGTTCCTTCAGGAGGCTTCAAGGGGGAAGCTTGCCATCTTGCCCCAGTTTTTGAGGTCACCTGCATCTCTTGGCTCCTGGTCCTTTACCCTTTTCAAAACCGGAGTATTAGATTTGTCTTTGATTTCTTACTACTCCCTGGTAACCTCCTCTCCCTTTTGAGGGCTCCTGGAATGACCATGGGCTTAGCCTGCCCCATCCCGATAATCTCCTGCTCTCAAGGTTTTCAGACAGGCCACTGAAATTCTCCCCACTACTTCAGTTCTCCCTTGATGCAGCATACGCATAGGTTCTGAGAGAAAGGACACACACAACTCTGGGTGGGAAACACCCTTTTACTGCGAGGGAGGCTCCCGATGGCCATTGTAGTGTCATTATCCTTGTTCGATACAGACACTTGAGGAAACTTGACCTCAGACAGTTTATGTGAATTCCAACTGTTGGCTCCACAGGAGGAAAAAAAAATGCCCCTGAGCCACTTGGGCCATTTGCCACAAAGTAGCAAGCAAAACCCTGTCGGTAGGCTTGGGGCCTTTACCTTCCAGTTCACTTTGCTGTACCTGGGCCTCATCCTTGTCCAGTCTTAAGGAATAGTGCTACTCCACGGACTCAGAATGGACTTGATCCAGCCATAAGGAATAAAGAGTGCCTCTCCACGGACTCAGAATGGATTTGATCCAGCCATAAGGAATGGTGCCTCTCCACGGACTCAGAATGGACTTGATCCAGTCATAAGGAATGGTGCCTCTCCACGGACTCAGAATGGACTTGATCCAGCTGTAAGGAGTTTTATTGTTTGAACAAGGGCATAGACTTTTAGAATTATACTTTTTGAGTGCCCAGTTGGGAACATTGAACTTTAGTGATCAAGAGCTCCAAAAGCCTGAGATCCTGTATGTTCCCCTTGAGAACTCTACAAAGAAGGCCTAAAGAGTGAGCACCCACAGCAATCGTTTCTGCCTAAGTGGCTGCTGTAGGTTTTGCCATATGGTTACCATGTTGGATGAGGCTAGCCCCTAGAATTAAAGAGGACTTTAGCCACTGGGTACTCATAGTGATGGAGCTGGCGACTCTGGTATACAGTTCAACTCTTAAGACAGAAGGTGGTTCAGTGGGCAATAAAGGAAATCTTCCGGCAAGGTCAGTGACAGAGGGGAAGCCACAGGAAGACTTAGTGCATGATTGTTTTCTCTTGGAAAGAGCAAACCATGATATGGGGAAACGTATTCAGAGGAGGTGTCTGGATTTCTTTTAGAAAGTTACCAGCTCTTAAGACAGAAGGTGGTTCATTGGGCAATAGAAGAAATCTTCAGGCAAGGTCAACTGTCAGAGGGGAAGCCGCAGGAAGACTTTAGTGCATGATTTTTTCTCTTGGAAAGAGCAAATCATGATCTGGGGAAAGAGATTCCCAGAGGAGGCATCCGGATCTCATTTTGAAAGCTATCACCCTCTAAGTCAGCTTACCCTGTCAGCTGTCCAGCGGTTTACCCTACCCTCTGCATTTAAAGATGGAAGCTGGCCAAGGACAGGATCTAAGGCCTTTTTTTGCTAGGAAAGTGAATTCTTTAGAACTCTGAGATGAATCCAGTCTGTGAAGAAAGATGAGGCACTGAGGAGAGATTTTGGGGGCCACCGAGAAAGGCGGCTGGCCCTAATTCCTGGAGGAGCATCATGAAGGGACGACGGGAGACTCATGGAAAAGTCACTCTGGCATAGTACTACAGAGTTTCCTTTCAGCCCCGCCAGCAACAGGCGGAAAGGGGAATCCAGATCCCGCCCCTATGCCAAATGATGAACAAGCTGAAGCAAGACACCTGCATCCAGGTGAGAACCAAGGTCGGGATGACTGAGGTCTGGGGTCACCAGGCCTGCGCTCTGGGCAAGACTTTCACACAGCGGTCTCTGAAGAAGATGGAGCCTAATATTGGGAAGGGTGGAGAGGTCTCTAGCAAGGTGTGCGTGGATAGCCGTTGGCAGAAGATGCCGAAGTACTGGGAATTTACTGAGGCGTGCTAGACTCTGTTTCTAGTACATGTAGGAGATGAGAGAGGGAGAGAGGATGACAGTGGTCAGCAGAGAGGTTTTCATTGGAAAAAGATAGAAACCTTGGCCACCAAGGTCCTGCGGAGAGCCACTATTGATGCAGAATAAGATTCGGATTCTTCTTCCAATTAGACTGGGTACCAGCCTAAAGGGCGTTGATTTTGGAAATGACTCCTAGCTGGGTAGTTATGATTTGAGAGTGGGTTAAGGTTTTTTTTTTTTTTTTTTTTTTTTTTTTTTTTGAACCTGCAGCTGTAGCTTGGAGGCAGGTCCCGCGAGCAGAAGGCAACAGAAGGCAAAGCACAGTAGCTTCCGGCTTCTCCCTCCCACAGGTGTCTCCAAGGAGGCTTCACAAGGTGAGTTGGCTCACCCGTCCTGTCCTACAGAGTGAAGTCGGGAAGGGAGAGGAGGCTGCCAGCTGCCAGGTGCTAGGTCAGGACATGATCCCCGCAAGTCACCTGGGTCCCAGTGCTCTCTGCAGGGTTCTCAGCTACTGGGCAGCAGCGATCAGACAGATCCCTGGGTGCTGGCTTCTCCTGTCAGGAGGTCCTGGGTGGAGAAGGCTGAATGTGATCTTTTAGGAATCAGACTAAGCTAGAATCCCTGGCGGTCCCAGACAGCTCCTAAGATGTGTTAGACTGGATGCTTAAAAAAAGTGGCAAAAATGGAGACAGAAGCAAGAGGTAAGAAGTAAGGTTTTTTTGGGGTCTGCGTGTGTGTGTCGGGGGCGGGCCTTAAACTACTTGCCATGGTGGATGAGAATGGGAGTGTCCTGGAGAGCCCATCCAAGAAGTTGTGATGCCAGAGGAACAGGATGGAGAACTTCCCTCAGGCCTGAGACACCTGTCCCCACTGGGCCCAGTCTGTGTGTCTCAGGGAGACCGTGGTGACCAATGGGTACGACGGCAGGAAGATGAAGACTGGCTCTTTAAGGCTGATGCCATAGGTCTTTCCCTGTTGTTCTCCACCTTATTGGAGACAGGGTCTCTCACTGGATCAAGAGCTTTCTGGTCAGTGCACCTCTGGCATCTTCCTTTTGCACCTCCCAGGGCTGGCGTTATAGATACATGCACTACATCTGGCTTTTTTGTTGTTAAAACCTGGGTGTTACAGATCTGAACTCAAGTTCTCAGGCTTTGTACAGCAAGCACTTTAACTACTGAGTGATCTCTGTAGCCCAAAGCTTTGAAAGACCTGCGGACTTGGGCAAGTCCAGGAAATACATGGTTCGAGCCAGGCATTTCTGCAGGCGGGAGCGCCTTGGCTGAAAAGCACCAGTGCCCAGCAGAGCCACCATGTGGGCACTGGTAATTGAACGCGGGTCCTCTGCTGTGAGCTATGGTAACCAAGGGCGCAGGAACAATGGAATCCATCTGTCTTAGCGCAGGCTGCTCTTCTGGATACTGTAGGCTGAGTCACTTAGAAAGAACAAGACAATTGCTTTAGTTCTGGAGGGTGGAAGTCTGAGACCAGGTACCAGCATCATCTCTTATAGGGACACCAATCCCATTCACGCGGGCTCCATCCATATGACCTAATTACCTCTCTGAGGCCCCCCCTCCAAAAGCCATTACATTGGGGATAAAGTTGCGGCACACAGATTTTGAGGCAACATATTTAGTCCATATCACCATTTCTAGTATTTCTGTTTGACACCACTAGTTAGGTTTCTGGCTTTTTTCTTTATGTGCATGAGTGTCTTTTGCTTTCATGAATGTGTACCATGTGTGGGCCTGGTGTGCTTAGAGCTCAGAAGAGATAATTGGATCCCCTGAAATTCGAGTTACAGATGGTTGTGAGCCACCACGTGGGCACTGGTAATTGAACGCGGATCCTCTGCAAGCACAGCTCTTAACTGCTGAGCCATCTCTCCAGCCTGTGCTTCTATTTTTTTTTGTTGTTATTTTGTTTTCCTTTTTATTTTTGTATTGTTTTTTTTTTGAGACAGGGTTTTTTTTTTTTTTTTGTGTAGCTTTGGAGCTTGTCCTGGAACTTGTTCTGTAGACTGGGCTGGCCTTGAACTCACAGAGATCCTCCTGCCTCTGCCTCCTGAGTGAGAAATTAAAGGCATATGCCACCACTGTCCAGGTTGCTTTGTTTTTCAAGTCAGGGTTTTCTTCTGTGTAGCCCTGGCTGTGCTAGAACTTGCCTTGTAGACCAGGTTGGCCTTGAACTCAGATCTGTGTGCCTCTGCCTCCCAAGAGCTGGGATTAAAGGTGTGCACCACCACCACCAGGCTGTTTTGCTCGTATGATTTATTTTTCATGTGTATGTACATGTGCCTCTGAGTGTATGCCACACACATGCTGGTAACTGTGGGTGCCAGAAGAGGGAGGGGATTGAGTCCTTGGAACTGGCGGTACAGGCAGTTGTGGGTCTCCTGATCTGGGGGCTAGGAATTGAATTAGGGTCCCTTGGAAGCAGGAAGTCCTCCTAACTAACTTCTGAGCTGGATCTGGAGCCCCATTTTTCTGTGTTTTTTGTTTGTTATTTTTTCTTTGTTTTTGTTTTTTTTGTTCATTTTTTATTTTAAAGGTTTAAGATTGTAATTGCATTTCTCCCTTCCCTTTCCTCCCTCCAAACCCTTCTATATCCTCCTCTCCACTCTCCTTTCACAGCCTCTTCTTTCATCGTTACTGCACATGCGTGTGTATGTAAAAACATGTATATTCCTCAATACAAGCTGCTCAGCCCACATAGCACTTGCCTGTGTGTTTTCAAGTTTTATTTTTAAACAATGTAGAAGTTTTTTTTTTAAAATTATGTATATAGTGTTTGGCCTGCTTGTATGCCCACCAGAACTCATTACAGATGGTTATGAACCACCGTGTGGTTGCTGGGGAATGAGCTCAGGGCCTCTGGAAGAGCAGCCAGTGCTCTTAACCTCTGAGTCATCTCTCAGGCCCCTAGTCACAAGATGATTTAAAAATGACCTAATGTGTCTGCTTGACTATTCGCTTAGATCAGTGGTTCTCAATATGTGGGTCTTAACCCCTTTGGGTCAAATATAGAGAAAATACATATTTCTGATGGTCTTAGGTACTGAGACTCCTCCGTCTATCTCCAGGTGATCCATTCACATGCAGAGAGTCCCATATACGAGTGCACAGTGTGATTGCACACCCCGAAGAAATGTGATAGGCTTGGGGCCACAACATGCTTCTGTGTTATGTCATACACAGTCACACACGTGTAGAGAGCAGCAACTGTGTTGAAAGCGGCAGCGATGGAGGTAAAATGACCCTTCATGAATTGTACTCTGGGGGAACGTAAAATGATGCACTGTCAAATTACCAACTGTGGCGCGCTGCTTGACCAGCAAGAACGACCACGAGTTGAGGATTCTTCTCTGATCACATTTTATTGGAGCCTCTCGGTTGAAGGGAGAGCGGGGGGAACGAGAGAGGGAGAGAGAGAAGAGAGAGAAAGCGAGAGAGGGGAAACGAGAGAGCGAAAAGGCGAGAGAGAGGGAAAGCCCAGAGGATTGGTGAATACCATTCTGCCGGAGCTCAGGGCCTCGTGAGCAGCCAAGGACAAGGCTCAGTTGTGCAAATGCAGGCAAAGGCCCATGCGGCAACTTCAAAAGGATTTGTTTACCTCCAAGCTGCAGGACTGCCAGCACCATAATGGCAATGTCCTGACGGCTCCTTACAACCAACGACTGCAAAAAATTATGTGCACCATGGGAATTTAATCTGTGTGATGATTGGTCTTTTTAGAGTCAACTGTGTTGATGTGAATACTTGGGATAGTAACAAGTATGTAAACAAGACAAAACAGAATGGTAAATCCCAGGAAACTTCAATGAACTGAACTGACTGCACTATGAACATTATATATGAACACATGTATATACATATAAACTGTGCCATCTTTTGCATTATTAAAGCTACCGTTGCATATTTTCATCAGAAAACCATCACATGATGATAGATAGTATAGAGAAAAGTGTTAAGAAAACTTTTTTTTTTTAACAGTATGGTTTTACCTCAATAAGTAGGGCAGGGATTGAGAAACTGCAACGTGTTAACCATTGTGAAGTTCTATCAGCCGAATCTATGAAGCAAATGAACTAGAATTTCTTTTAAATCGCAAGCACCCAAGCTTTGCCAGTTAGGATGCCAACGATGTTAGAAGTGAAGCTGGTGGACACAGAGCCAGACTGACACCGGTGTCAAGGACCACCACCGAAACGTAGCAGCCACTGAAGCTTCATATTTGGTGGCACTCGGAATCACCGGAGCTGTGAAATCTCATACCATTGCCGAGGATTTACTGCCTCCAGCAAAGACAGTGCTCGAGTTATGATCAGGGGCGAATCTACTATGCAGTCGATTGCAATTTCCTTATTTAACGACACTGTCGAAGAATAGATGGCTCATCTGCTTGATCAGGTAGTCCAGGAAATTAAATCTGCTCCACTTCCAATATTTAGTATCCAGTTTGATGAATCTACAGATGTTGCAACCTGTGTTGCTGGTTTACGTGAGGTTTATTAGTGATGGCGACTTTAAAGATGAAGTTTCTGTTTTGCAAACAGCTACCACACGTGCGATGTATTTGACACAGTGGGTTCATTTCTGAAAGAGCGGAAGAGAAGATCTCTTGGGAAAAGGTTTGTGGTGTTTGCACAGATGGTGCTCCCATTATGCTAGGGTGTTGGTCTGGATTTTAATGCTCGGTACTGAATGAGTCACCAAAAGCCATTGGTGCTCACTGCATAGTTCGTCAGCAGATATTGGCAATGAAGACAAAGTCACAAGAGTTACAAGAAGTAATGAAAAGTGCCAACTTCTGTCAGTTTTGTAAAGGTGAGCACTTTACTGTGCATCAGGTACCAACAAAGTTCTGCTATTTCACACAGAGCTGCCTAGTGAATGGCTGTCCAGAGGAAAAGTTTTAAAATGTGCTTTTGAGCTCATGATGAACTCAAGACATTTTAAATCAGAAAGTATGGTAGTTTGAAAGAAAATGGCCCCCAAAGGGAGTGACACTATTAGGAGGTGTGGCCTTGTTGGACGAAGTGCGTCACTATGGGGTGGGCTTTGAGGTCTTTCTTTCTCAGGCTTCTCTCAGTGTTGACAGTCAACTTTCTGTTGCCTGCAAGATGTAGTAGCATTCTTAGCTCCAGCACCACGTCCGCCGGCATGCTGCCATGCTCCCCATCATGATAATGAACCGAACATCTGAAACTGTGAGTCACTCCAATTAAATGTTTTCTTTATGAAAGGTTCTGTGGTCATGGTGTCTCTTCACAACAATAAAAACCCAAACTAAGACAAAGCAAGATTGCAGTTCAGAGCACTTTGCAGTGATAAAAATGAATTGCAGAAAATAGCTTACTTGGTGGACAACTTTGCTATCTTGCATGTGTTAAGTTTATCACTGTGAAGATCAAATGCAAATAACTTGATTTGTCTGAAAAGATCTGCTCTTTCCAAATGAAACTTCAGCTTTGTTGTGTGTGTGTGTGTGTGTGTGTGTGTGTGTAGGATGAAAATAAAATTTGCATATTTACCCACCTTATCTGCTTTTTGGGAGGAACATAAAATTGAACCAGACCAAAGCATTGTAATAGTTTCTGTGAAAGAAAGATAAAACTTCATCCGATTTTCCAAATCTACCCGACACCCTGTGTGGACCAGCCATTCACAGTCAAAGCTGAAGATGTTCCTGAGACAGCACAAGAGGAGGTCATTGAATCAATTTCTCTACCAGGCCAGTCACAAATTCTGGATCAAGTGTTCGCAGCCATATCCTAGTCTGCCTGAAACTTCATTTCCAGCAACATACCTGTGTGAAACGGATTTTCAGCTCGTTGGTTATCAAGCCTAAATACGGAGGCAGACTTGCTGTGGAGGATGAGTGTGGTTGTGCTCTTGCAAAGACTGCCCTGAGGGTCTCTGATCTGGTGGGAAAGAACAGTCTCCACCTCCCAGCTGACATTGGCTTTTTACCCACCATTGCAAATGTGACAAGTGTAGTTTATTAAGACTGATACCCATGCAGCACCATGTTTCAAGAAGAAAATTTCATTTATTTGTAATTAGAAATGAATATCCCACAATATACAATTACACATTGTTTTGTGGTTAATCACTATGCTTTAGTTGTGTTTAATCTGTAACAATGAAAATGCATCCAGCATTTATATTATGATTTATAACAGTATCAGAATTGCAGTTATGAAGTAGCAATGAAAATGATTTTGTGGTTGGGGGTCACCACAACGTAAAGGGTCACATTGAGAGTGCTGAGAGCCACTGTCCGAGATGGATTTCAGCATGACTTGTGAAGGTCAGTCATGTGATCATCAGTATTAACTAAAGCTGCATCAAACCTATGAATTTGCTTTAAAAAATGGGGTTGGAGCCTAGTTTTTTGCGCTGTGTTTCAGAAAGGTGGTGTTCTACCAGAGTGTGGGGGCCCACTGCTGGGGCTGAGAAATTTTATGTTTAAGTGTGAATTTAGGTAGGTGCTTTGGTCACAGTTTCCTCATTTGTAAACTTAAGCAAAGATGTTACAGCATCTTTTGTGTTGTGATGAAGACTGAGTTAATAGATAAATACGTAAAACAGTAGTTGGCATGCACTGAGCACGCATCTTCAGGCCACGATCCTGTCCGACTTCTGTTCTTTGAAGCATGGCATCTTGAATAGAGGGTCTCACCATCAGGTTCTATGGCGGGGGGGGGGCGTCCACTAAGAGCCATGGAAGTAGCTTGTAAAGTCTTTTAGAGGGGGTTTCTATGGGACTCCACTGGTTAACACCTGGAAAAGTGGTACCCTATCTCTGGTACTGGACTTGTTTGGAAGAAGTATTGCCTCTCCCCCTCCCCTACCACTTACAGTGTAACTTCAACTGTGTGTGTGTGGGTGGTCTGTCTGTCTGTCTGTGTGTTTTAAGGAAGCTTCTATAGTAGTACATTTCCATATGGCTTTTCTAAAGGTCTTTAGTGCTAAGCCTTCCCCAAGCTCCACTCTCTTCCCCATCCTTCACCTCCAACTTAACCCTTTCTGCTCCGGACCTCCCCCCCACCTGCTTTCTGTCCTCTTCTCCCAGGAAGTCCCCCTTCCCCATGGCTCCAACTTCTCTTCAAAATGTAGTTTGTTGAATGCAGACTTTAACTCAGTTTGTTTCTGTCCCTACAGAGCAACCAGGAAGAGAATGGTTCATGTTGAGGATGGATGGATGGATGGTTATGGGAAGATGCAAGAAGACCACACAAGGCGATGGGAGCTTCCAGGGTTGTCGTTAACCCGGACCTTGCACCTGTCCCTGGCCTCTCCTCTTTCCAATGGGATGGGCTCAGCAAATGCCTGGAATGTCAGTATATTTGCCAAATTATTTGTGGTTATTTTAGGACCAGAGCCCGCGAAACATGATTGGAAAGGACCCACAGTTGAGAGTCCACGGTGTCTTTCCCACAGGCACTCTGGTTTTCTCCCGAGCTGGGAAAGTGTCACTAGAGGAACGGTGACAAATGAGAGCAAAATACACTGATACCCATGTGTGAAAATGTCACAACGAAACCCGACGCTTTGTATTTGAACCCCCACGTTAAGGAACACGTAGTAATGAAATAAATCAAACTGAGAAGAATTATTTTCTGCCTTCAGAGATCTCTCGGCATCCCCTCCTACGTTGTTCGCATCCCTGCAGAGCGCAGGTAAAGGAGTGAAGGCAGGCACCATTTCAGCCTGCCGGCTTGGGGCTTGGCCCCTCCTCGTCAGCCCTTGGGTTTAGTTTCAGCCCAGACACCAATGCGGGGTAAAGTGGGAATAAGAGAGGCTGGAACTGTCTCAGCGGTTATTTTCTCCAATCAGGGAGATAATATGTGTAAAAATGTTTTGAAAGGAAAGTGTGAAAAGTGGCAATTGGCCTTCATGATAAATAGAACTATAAATGTCAATGATTCTAAATGGTACAATCTCCACGATCAAGGCATTACTCGAGACAAGGGTTGGTTGCATTTATACATTGTTAAGTTTTTACTGGGTCAATACTGTCATTCTTCAGGGGTTACTATGACAAAAGCCTTGAATTTGTTTAAAGAATTAGTTTTTTTTTTCTGAGACAAGGTCTTGCTATTTAGTCCAGGCTGGTCTTGAACCCACTGCATAGCCCAAGATGGCCTTCAACTCTTGATCCACTAGCTTTAGCTTCCCAAGTCGTAGAATTACAGGGCTGCCCTACCACTCCTGGCTAGTGCTTTCAAGGTTGCTATAGGTAGCAATGCACTGTATCTCATTCTGTGGTAAACAGAAGTGAGCGGTCCTCCAATCCCAGTTCTCTGCTCTCCCACAATGATTCTCCACTTTCTCCTCCCAGGTCTTGGTCTGTTAAGAACCCAATTCTCTGCTCCACAACAACTCTAGGCTGATTCTTTGGGTAGGAAGGAAGTTCAACTCAGGAGCCTTTGATGGCTAAAGGGCAGGATGACCCTGGACCCCTAGTCAGACCCTCCAGTCTGTCCCAGGGTCTTTCCCCCGAGGCCACAGCATTATAAGAAGGCCTGGCAGTGTCCCAGATGGAGATGGGCTAACAGCAGAGATGGCAGAGTGTTTCCAGTGACCCCTACTCCTGGACACTGGGTTGCTATGGACAGAGGCCACAGGAAGGAGAGGGAAGCGTACAGGGGTTGTGTTTTGAGCATCTTATCCTCTGAGCAAGGGGTCGATTGTGTAGAGAGTAGGGAGGATGTAGAGAAGGAGAGCCTGGTTTATTGTAAAGAAGACCAAGTTAGAACTAAATGGAAAGTAGAAGACAGGACCCTGGAACCTAAGGGATAAGAATGGCTTTGGTCCTGAGTGCTCATCTGTGTGGGGCTAGCTAAGTCCTTCATTTGGGGTTGGATTTCTCAAGTCTTCTGGTTTATTTTTCATTAGAAAAGGGTGCTGACATTTTGGCTGTTATTCCTTATGAACTGATAAGATTCACATATTAGTGTACACAGATGCTTTATAAACATCAGTTTCAATCTCAAGTCCTCAGTTGCTCAACAATGGGCACTTAATAAATTTCAAGACTTTCCTGGCCATCCAGGTTTGGTTTGCATGCTTGATACTTGGCACCCTTTTCTTTGGTGTCTTGTCTCTGTTCTGCATGGATTTGCATGTAAGATCTAGGGGTCTCAACAGCCATGAACAGATAAAAGGAAGTTATGTCACGTGGACTGACAGTACTCCCCATGGGAACCACAGAATAACAACTCCAGTACTGGGTATGAGAAACTAACGGGGTCCATAAGAGTTCAGCTCTTAAAAATCCCTCTCAGGGTTTAATTAAAGACACCACACTAAGCGAAGGGATCTAAAATCTGACGGCTAAGAGAACTACTCACAAGGTCTATCTGTGTGTCTTTATTTTTCTTCTTCCTCTTGTTTAGCCCTCCTGTTACAAACATTCCCAGTAATATGTGCCCTTATAAGCAGCAAGTCCACAGCTTTCACAGGTTCCAGGGCTGGAATTATTTTTTCCCCATAAAAAATCAGATAAGAATTTTCACACAGATTCATGGCTGTCAGCTCAAAGGTGGAAGAGTGACTTGGTGTTCCTGGTGAACTCCTTAATGGAGAAAGTTAAGAAAGGAAGTAAATCATCAGGGAATTCTAGAGGGGAAGGCTAGCGTGCTATGCTACATTTTTAGGTAGTTAAAGAGCTAAAAGGTTTATTTTCAGTAAAATTATTAATAGAGTGCAGATTCATTTTTAAATTAGCGTGCCACTTTTTTTCTTTCTCCCAGAATGCATAGAGGATATCAGGTAGCCAGGAAACCTATGTAAGTAGTCAGGGGGAAGCTAATGACTCCTGAAGCTGATAGCACAGTCACCAGACACTGCTATTTCTATGGGCCTAGGTCTGGAGTTTGCTTATTGCTCTAAGTGGTAGAAACAAAGAGGAGACCCCAAATTATCAGTTCCAGGGTATGCTGTTGTCAGTCATTCTGATCAAGGGCATTATGTGTCTTGGTTCCAGCAGGAAGAAAGTCTGTCTTTGGGTTGCAAATTATCTCTTCTGCTGTCCTTGAGAGTAAAGCACAAACAGGCAAATTTCCTGTACTAAAATCATCAGTAAACTGAGGTGAAGGGGGAGAGCTAAGAGTTAGGAATCTTCTAAGTGAGGCAAAACTAGGGCATGTTTAGTCTTCTGTCTGAAAATCTGTGAATCTGCAGCCTTGGGCAAGTAGTGATTCTATGTCCTTGGATATCCGTGAATATCTTAAATGGAATGCTTTTACCCTAACCCTAATCACTGATCAAATGCCTGCTGATAAAGATAATTGAAGGAAGGCAGATCTCTGCCTTTACCTAGGAGAGAGGAACAAAGGCTTGGCAGTGGGGAAACTGCTTTCACACATAGCTAGTGGATGTTTTCAATGAACCCCAAAAGCATAGAAAACAGTTCTGAATTGTGGGAATTAATCCCAAAATATGTAACAGAAGGGGGGGCCACCTACAGCAAAAAAAATCTACAACAAAAAATAGCCACTTTATTCACAAAGCAAGAGCACCCCAAAACCCTGCCTTTTGGTTTAAAACATTCATCAAAAGCCCCTGACTCTGATGAGTCACTCATGAAAAGATGACTGAGAAACATCAATGGTCTGTACTGCTTTGGCAATCACTTGGGCTTCCCTGAATATTCATGGGAAAGGTTTCTTGCTACGAGTTGCAACATTTTACAGTAATTTCTCAGTCATCTTTTCATGTTTACAGAGTCCAATAAAGAGCAGAGAATCATTAGGGGATACTTTGAAAACTTATATTCCTCCAAACCTGGAAAATCTAGACATTTCCAGGAAGATAGATGTAACTGGAAATCACTGTGTTAAGCAAAATAAGCTGGAGTTGGGATGACAGGCACCACATGGTTTTTTTTTTTCTGTTTTGTTTTTTACTCAGAAACTGAATTTAAAATTGCGATGTGTACGTGTGAGTCAAAAGACTAGAAAGGGTTCATGAGAGGAAGGAAGAGACACTGTCAGTATAGGAAAAAAAAAACAGGTCATGAAATGCATGTAGTACAAACGCAGAAGTTGGTACTACCTGAACGAAGAAAGGGAACCAGCTAGGGCTGGGGAGGGTCATTGAGGGAGTAATAGTAAAGAATGAGAACAAATCTTAACAAAATGTACCTATAGAGATGCTAGAATGAAACCCAATACTTTGTATCTGACCTTATAAAAAAGGATCAAAATTATCCATAGATTTAAATGTAAAACAAAACAGAAAAACAACACTCAAAACACCTGCCTGCTTTCACAGAAATATTTAAGATACTATCTGACCAATGCATAAACCTGTAGAGGTTTAAGAGAGAATGCCCCATAGGCTTAGCTGTTTGCATCCTGGTCTCCAGGTGTCTAAGTTTAGGAGGTGTGTCCTTGCTGGAGGGAGGAGTCACTGGGGACGGACTTTGAGGTTTCAAAGCCTAGCCCTATTCCCAGTGCACTCTCTGGCTTCCTGCTTGTGGTTTGAGATGTGAGCTCTCAGCTGTTCCTGAGGTCATGCCTGCCGAGATGGTGACAGTGTGTTAACCTCTCATCCCTCTGAAGTCAGAAGCCCTAATAAACCCTCCAGTAAGTTGCCTTGATCATGACGTCATCAGAGTCCAGAACTAATGCAGGCACCAGGGACAGTTGTCATGGAAAGTGAACCCAATGTTGGAACCCCCGTGCATCTCATTAGGTCCTGTCTTCAAGCAAACACAGTGATGAGGTCCCCGTTCTGCCTCGCTGTCCTGGTCGTGCTCCCCATTTCCTTCAGAAAAGAACGCAGAGTTCTTTGCAGGAGTTTCCTCGCTGACGGTCTGTAACTGAACTGCTTTGGAATGAAGATAAACGTTTTCTAGGGTGTGACACGGGGCTGGGTGAGAAAAACCAAATGTTTTACATGTTGTACATGTAAATATATCAGGAACAATAGGAAGTCCTCATGACAGTTACGGTCTTCGCTCTGTAATGAAGCATGTGCTACTTGCAATTAGTTTTCCTCCTCTATATATTCCACATTCCCTTTGCCTCAGCAAGCACATCGGCCGATTGTCATTATTACTGTGGGGTGACCCAAACCTTCATTTTTGGGGGGAACTAGGGCATTAATAGTTATGTGTAGGTTGGGTTATTGTAGTTTTCTATTGATTTAGATCAGAAGTTGTGGTAATAATAAAGCCATTACAGACACACTCGGTCTGACCTCTGTATGGAACAGAAGTCAAACATTTCCTTGATAGCCAGGATTAGCCACCTACAAAAATAGCCATTTTCTTCCATGGATGCTGATTCAGTGACAGGAGGATCCCCAAAGTGGTTAGCTAGAATTTTAAAATTTCAGTTTAATGGAATACCTGTATTTCCTGGAGGAAACATTGCCCGTAGGCCAGGAGAGTGTAAGGTGGGGAAGATAACATTTCTTCTAGTACATCCAAGGAGTAAGGGTGAACTCCCTTTCTCTCACTGGTCTTCTGACTTCCGGACCTGTGAGTCTGAGCTATGGGAGACACAGCACTGTGTACTGGCTGATTCACAACACACTCAGCCTCCTGGAGAAGCCAGCCTCCACCACAGAGTATCATCAACTTCAGGTAATTGTGATGAGGAGGGAATTACTTTCCCTGTGAATAAAGGGTCAGGATACCCACTGCCACAGGGCTACCTGGGGAAGGTTCCTCCCATCCCTAGCTTC